GACAAATCAGGGGTTCGCTTTATTAAAATGCTATACCAGGGAGTACAGAAGATATACACACAGTCCAGACAGAATCATTGTTAGTTGAATTGATTAACTTGTTTAGAATTTGTGTACATGAAACTTCTGTTCTTAAAACACACATTCTCAAACTCTCTTACCATGAGAACACAGCACATTTCACATGGCTACACCATCAAAACAGCTCCTTGGAACTCTATAAAAACATGTTCTATATTTTACAAAAGTCACTTTCAACAGTTTAAAATGACATATTACTTCAAATCTGATTTTATTTTGGGGGGAGAGGCAATGGCCATTTTAGACTTTAGATTCCATGTCTCTATTAATATGAGCCCTGGGTGACCACTGCCACCCAGATGCAACATTTAGGGACCAATCGCACCTACCACCAGGATCCACCCTTTAAAATCTGTTTATGTTTTAGAATGTAAAAAGCATTAAAGTTTTGAAGGATCAATACAGATGGACACAGGGCTCAGAAGAAAGGTTTAAAGTGAAGGAATCTTCAAGAGCCTAGTTTTAGGTCCAAACCCTAAACACAGTCCTAAAAATTCTGTGATGTATTTTATTTCTACTAGGCTCATCCAAGGATTTAGAAGTTTTAATAATTTTCTGTCAGTTCTAATTTAGGAATATATATATATATATATATATATATATATATATTCCTATATATAAAACAAACTTACCTTATTGTGGTTGGGTAACTACTTCTTTTTTTTTTTTTTTAAGATTTTTTTTTATTGGGTAATTGGGGGGATGGGAACAGTGATGGGGAATTGGGGGAAGGGGAACAGACAAGTTGCTGTCATTTTTGTTCTTCAGTCTAGTTGTGGAGGACGTTGCTTCACTGGCCCAAGTTGGCACCATCATTGCGCTCTTCCCTGGCGAGGCAGATCAGTCGCCGGCTTCTGGACGGCCGCTCACTGCGGCTGCTGGCCGCTCACGCTGGCTGCTGGCTGCTGGCTACATATGGTAGCCCATGGCAACCCACTGCCACAGGGACTGCAGCCTACGCCGTCGCCAGCGACTCACGGCAGCCCAGCTCCAGGTTGAGCTGTTGTTCAGCATCTTAGCTGTGGAGGGCAGTGTCACTGGCCCTCATATGTGGGATCCGAACCGGGGCCCTCTGGCATCCCAAGCGAGTTCTTAACCATCGCGCCACTCGGCCGGCCCTGGGTAACTACTTCTTAAGTGAATGAGTGATAAGTGATAATGATAGTAAAATAAGGAAGGCTTTAAGAGATCGAGAGGTTCACATTTAACCAACCTTGTCCAATCCGTTGGAAAGCAAATGAAACAAACTATGATGATTAGAGCTCAATTTCACAGTGTCACCACTAAAATAAACCCCAAACTTTGTCATATACCTTAAAAAATATTTTAAACTTTCTTCACAACACATACTTCAAAACACATAAATTAATTAAAAAATAATTTCTCTTAGAAATAAATGTAAACAAAAAACTGAACTCACCTGAACAGAAGTGGCTTCATCCTTACCTTCATGAAAATCTATGGATGTTAACAAAGAATCATTTTTCTCACAGCTCTCTTGGCTGATGAGCGTGTCCGCATAGTTAGGCTGTGGGAAGATCAGGTGACTCTTCCCCGAGTCTGCGGTGAGGGAGACCTCATGGGTATAGGTCTGCAGGAATGCCTGTACTCCATCCATGCCCACAAAGCTTGAGGCTGGCAGGCCCACCAACCTACTGCCGGAAGCCTGAAGCAGACGTGACCTGTGCCACCGCCATAGCCTGAGCGCCAGCAGCACAACAACAAAGGCAAGGAAGACGCAGGAGACAACGGCCACTGCCACCACTAGGTACAGTGTGAGGTCTGAGTCATCAGAGTTGGCGGGGTTCCTGATGTTGCCCAGGTCGGCAAGGACTTCTGGGATGCTGTCTGCCAGCGCCACAGTGAGCGTGACAGTGGCAGAGAGAGGGGGCTGGCCGTGGTCCTGGACCGCCACCACCAGGCTCTGCTTGAGCGCGTCTCTGTCCAGCAGGGCCCGTGCAGTGCGCACCTCGCCCGTGTGCAACCCCACGGAGAAGAGCCCTGGCTCGCTGGCCTTGAGCAGGCGATAGGACAGCCAGGCGTTCTGGCCTGAGTCTCTGTCCACTGCCACCACCTTGGTCACCAGATAGCCCGGCTCTGCAGAGCGGGGTGCCAGTTCCACACCACTGGAGCCATCAGTGGGGATGGTGGGGTACAGGACTTCAGGCATGTTGTCATTCTGATCCAGAACAAACAGACTCAGTGACACATTGCTGCTGAGTGGAGGGTCCCCACTATCCCTGGCAGTCACCAGTAACTGTAAGTCTCTGAACTGCTCATAGTCAAAGGAACGCAGTGCATACAACACACCGGTGTCAGAGTTGATGGAGATGTAAGAGGAGAGAGGTGCCCCCATGACGGTATCCTCTGTCAGAGAGTAAGTGACCTGGGCGTTCTTGCCACTGTCAGGATCATGGGCAGTTACAGAGAAGATGGAGGCTCCCCTGGGGTTGTTCTCTGGGATATAGGCTGAGTAGGAGGCACGAGGGAAAGTGGGCGAGTTGTCATTGGTATCCGCCACGCTCAACGCAATATAAGTTTCAGTAGATAAAGGTGGGTTTCCTAGATCTGAGGCCATCACTGTGATATTGTACATAGAGATCTTTTCTCGGTCCAAATATTTCCATGTCACCAATCTATAATAATTATCTATTGATTTTTCTAATTGAAAAGGTAAATTATCACGTATGTAACAGACAACTTGACCATTCTTCCCAGAGTCTCGGTCATGTACATTCAAGAAGGCAATTACTGTCCCAGGAAGAGTATTTTCCAAGACCGGGCTAAACAAAGATGTAATGATCACTTCAGGTCTATTGTCGTTTACATCTTCTATGAAAATAAGTACTTTGGTCCTCCCCAGAAGTGCCCCCACATCTTCAGCTTGTATTTCCATTTCATAAAATGTACATTCTTCATAATCTAGACCCTCTGATGTTGATATTTCCCCAGTGTTTTCATTAAGCTGGAATAACGGAGATTGCTTTTCACTAATTTTCCAGAATTTGTATGCCACTTCTCCGTTGGCTCCCTCATCCGGGTCGCTAGCTCTTACAGTAAGCAGCCGGGTGCCCGGCGGCACGTTCTCTGGGACAGTCACTCGGTAAATCGGTTGAGCAAACACTGGGGCATTGTCGTTGGTATCCAACACTGTTACTTGGATGTGCACTGTGCTGGAGCGACGCGGTGTGCCGCCGTCGGAGGCGATGAGGACCAGGTGGTGAGCAGCCTCTTGCTCGCGGTCCAGGGCGCGCTCCAGCACCAGCTCCGGATAGATAGTTCCGTCGTCTCCAGTTTGCACGTCCAGGGAGAAGTGGTGATTGGGGCTGAGCTGGTAGCTCTGCAGGGAATTCAAGCCCACATCCGGGTCCACAGCCTCTGGGAGCGGATAGCGTGTGCCAGGCGCAACGATTTCATTAATTTTTACTTCCAGATTTTCGACCTGGAATTTTGGGTTATTATCATTGATATCAATGATTTCTATTTCTATCCCAAAAAGTTTTCCTCTATCCTCAACCAGGATGTTGATATTTACAAGACACCGCGCGCTCTGAGCGCATAGCTCCTCCCTGTCTATCCTGCCTGCGGTAACCAAGCTGCCGCTTCTCCGGTTCAGAGCAAAGAGCTGCGTCCTACCTCTGGAGACGATGCGGACTCCGTGCTTCGCCAGCTCTTGTGACTCCAGCCCCAGGTCCTTGGAGACGTTACCCACGAAAGATCCTTTGTCGCTCTCTTCTGGCACTGAGTAGTGGATCTGTCCCTGGCCGATCTCCCACAGCGTACCCAGGAGCGCGCACAGCAGGGCCAGCTCGCCACGTCCTCGGTAATTCTTTGGAGCGGCCATTGTTCTTTCGCTACAGAATCCACTCAGAATCTTCCTTGGGCATATGCGTCTTGTTTACCTTTTTGCTGCAGCTATGGAGATCATCTTATCAAAAGCTGGAGTGTCCCAAATTTAGGGATGGAGTTTCGCTGCAGCCCTGCAGTTGGTTGGTGGGATCTGTGAGTGTTTGTGAAGTGGGAGCCCTGAGTATGTGGATGGCGTTCGGTTACATTTATCTCCAAATTAGGTGAACAGCGGCGCTTAGAGTCCTAAACAGTTACTGCAACCACTTATATTTGTAATACTGTATGCTACATTACTGAGAAAAACAATACTACTTGGTTTTTATAGTCTGTTTTGCATGTATTTAATTTGTACCTAAATTCATATTTAAAAATTGCCAAGAAGCATGGGATGAAGTAGGGTTAAACGCTTACAAAGTATTATAAAATGATCAGATTTATGGGTTAGCATCACATTAAATTATGAACATTTCTAGAACAACTTTACTCTTTTAAAAACAAACTATTAAAATTTTATTTTTTATTATACTCTAAGATTTATTGTAAATGTCTTCAATATCTATTATCAAATAGGTAAGAACTCCATTTGTTACTGGAAATTAATTCATTTATAGACTAAAATAGACCTATTGGAGATGATTGACTCAGGAGTTATTTAACTTGGTTTAAACAAATTAATAATTGTAATAAGCTTTCTGTAGAGTGTTTGCTTTTTATTCTTCTTTAAAAGTGTCATTTTAGTTGCATATTGATAATGTTTTCAAGTCAATATTGTAAAATTTTAATAGTTTAAGTGCTTTTACTTTCAAAAAGCACTTTTTGAAAGTAAAAGATTATGGCTATTTTATTTAAATTATTTTTTTCTATTTGAATAGAAAATGCTTGAAAAGTACAAATGATTTTACAAGGAAAGGTAAAAATGATTTTACAAAAAAGGTAACTCTACATCTCATTCTTCCACCAATGAGAGATTATTACATGTTAAAGTAGACTTAACTATCTTCTTAAGGTATACATATATTCTAAAGTTATTTTTACCTTTATTAGTACTTTGAGCAAAAGAACCAAAAAAAAAGTAAGGAACACATAATTATCACCAAGGAGTCAAAAAGCACCAATACAAAAAGATGTCTCTTTTTTTTCCAGCAGTTTGTAAAGTGGCCAATAACTGAAACAGTTCCTAAGGGAAATCTAGCAAAAGGCTGAAACATTGTATTATCATCTTGTATATATACTTGTATGTACATCAGATTAGCAATTTTATCTAAAATTTAAGAATTCAACTCTATTTTTCTCCTAGAGATAGTAGAATGTCCAGAAGACATCTAGCTATGTTAAAGGCTTAAAAAAAGATAGTTCAAAGCACTGTCTTTTCTTTGATGGAAGAACCGACAGAATGACTTTCAATACAGATTAATCCCACAAAACCTATCGTGCAAGTAGGGAGAACATGCTTTTGTCTTCTGATGAGCATTATGGACCTACTGCCAAGTCAAAGGATTTTACACACAACACACACACATAGTACATTGCGTACAATTACAATAGGTTTATCTACATAAAAATCCAGGTTAAGATATATTATTCTAGGTGATTTTGAAACAAAGGGAAGAAAATAGTAGAGGCAAAACATCAATTATAGAATTCATAACAGTTAAATCAGTTAAGAAAAATATCTAACTTTAGCTTAAATTTTTTTGCTTTAAAGGTTTATTTAAATGACTGCCTACATTTAAATTTACATTATATCCAAGCTAAAAAAAAAACACCCCATCATCAATTAAGTGATAGGAAGAAAAATTTAGGGGAAAATCTCATTAGCTTTTATGACAGAGCTTATAGCGTCTTTAATGTTTCCCTTTGTAGACAAAATCACACTCTCACTGCTTTGTAAATCTGAGCCTGGTAAGACATCCTAAAAGACACCGAATTGCTCCTACTCCAACAACCCTCCCTGAAGAATAATATGACGGCTTTTTGACTGGCTACAAATTGCATAAGACAACTTTAAAATCTGAACATTGTATGTTTTCCTGTGAGTATGGAGAACTGGGTAGACCACAAGAAGCAAGTTATATTTAAAGGAAACTCACCTGATGGAAAGTCGATTCATTGGAATTACAAAGTGGAAATAAGGCCCCAGATGAATCGCCGCAAAGTATGTCTTGCCCTGAACTCAACTGCTCGTTACATTTTAGAAAATTAAATTCTGTCTTTCCAGTATGGGCAACGCACAGGTTGTAGGAATAGGGTAAAGTCCCTTCACTGTAGTTGGGGGGAAGCGCGGGTCCAGACTTGACACAAAGACCAGGCTGAAAGCAGCCCCAGGTGGCGGGGCTGGAGGAGCGTCTCAGGCGCAGAGCCACCGCCAGAATCACCGCGAGGAGGAAAAGCACTGAGATCAAGGCCAAGGCCACAACCAGGTAAAACTGCAGCTCAGCCTGGGGGTCAGTGGGTGTGGGATGGTCGCTGAGATCTGGCAGCGCCTCTTGTAGGCTGTCAGCGAAGACCAGGAGCAGCGTGGCGGTGGCCGACAGGGGCGGCTGTCCCCCATCGCGCACAGCGACCAACAGGCGCTGGCGGGCCGCGTCCCTGTCGCCCAAAGCTCGCGCCGTGCGCACCTCGCCCGTGCGCAGCCCCAGGCTGAACAGTCCGGGCTCGCTGGCCTGCAGCACGTGGTAGGACAGCCAGGCGTTGTGTCCCGAGTCCGCGTCCACCGCCACCACCTTGGTGACCAGGTAGCCGGGCTGCGCGGCGCGCGGCACCGTGTCGAAGAGCGCCGAGCCGTCGGGCCCCAGCGGGGGTACAGCACCCTGGGCGCGTTGTCGTTGCGGTCGCCCACCAACACGCGCAGGCTCACGTTGGCGCTGAGCGCGGGCGAGCCCTGGTCGCGGGCCTGCAGCGTCAGCTCGAAGGCGCGCAGCTGCTCGTGGTCGAAGGCGCGCTGCGCGAACACCACCCCGCTGTGCGCGCTCACGGACACGTAGGACGACAGCGCGCGCGGCTCCAGGTCGCTGGCCACGATGGAGTAGGAGACGCGGCCGCTGGGTCCCAGGTCGGGATCGGAAGCGCTGACCTGCGCTATGGAGACACCAGGCAGGTTGTTCTCAGACACGTGGACCAGGTAGGTTGACTGTTGGAAAACCGGGGCGTTGTCGTTCACATCGCCAATGTGCAGGGTGATGCTTGAGCTGGAGGAGAGGGGCGGCTTGCCCCTGTCGGTGGCTGTGATAGTGACATTGTACTCAGGGGTCTGCTCGCGGTCTAGAACTCCATCTGTCACTAATTTATACGTGTTTTTTGAGGAAGTGAGTAATTTAAATGGAACATCACCTTCTAATTTACAAATAACTTCTCCGTTGTGTCCGGAATCCTTGTCACGGATTTTGAGTAAAGCAATGTATGTTCCTATGTTGGTGTCCTCCATAATAAGTTCTGGTAGAGATTGGAATATCACTTCTGGGACATTGTCATTTACATCTAGGACTTCTATTTCCACGGTACATTGAGCAATCATTCCTCCACCATCCCTTGCTTCCAAAACTATGGAATATTCTTTGATTCCCTCAAAATCTAATGTATTTCGAATAGTAATTTCCCCGGTAGTAGAATTCAGGTCAAACTGGGTGATCTGGCTTGCTTCAGTGAAAGAGAAGGTGATCTCGGCGTTGACACCCTCATCCTGGTCGGTGGCCATCACTCGAAGCACAGTGGTGCCTGGGGACACGTTTTCCAGAAGGCCCACCCTGTATAGCTCTTGGCTGAACACTGGAGGGTTATCATTGGCATCAGTCACTAGAACCTGTATCTGTGCAGTGCTGCTTAGGGGTGGATCCCCGCAGTCCAAGGCAGTCAAGGTCAAGTGGTAGGAGTTCTGCTCTTCCCGGTCTAAAGGCATCTTCAGTACTAGCTCAGGGTATCTACTGCCATCTAATTTCTCTTTATTCACGAGTAAGAAATGATCATTGGGACTGAGCTGGTAATTCTGTAGTGAGTTGGTCCCAATATCTGCATCATGGGCAGATCCTAAGATAAATCGTGCCTCGGGCTTTGTGGACTCACTTATTTGCAGCTCAAAGGAACTTTGCATGAATTTTGGCGTGTGGTCATTAATATCCTCGATTTCCACATTCACGTGATAAAAGTTCAATGGCCGTTCAGCAACAGCCTCAAATTCCAGAGCACAGACTGGCTTCTTCCCGCATATCTGCTCCCGGTCCACCCTACTGCTCACAAGTAACTCCCCGCTCTCTGCGCTCACAGTGAAGTAAGGCTTCTCCGAACTGACGCGCAGTTTTCGTGTCGGTAACTCCCGGACACCGAGTCCCAGGTCCTTGGCGAGGTTCCCCACCACCGACCCCTCAGGCAGTTCCTCGGGAATTCTGTAGCGGATCTGCTCAGAGAGCGCCGGGCAGAACAAAGACAGCAGGAAGGGAAACAGCACTGGCCGCCTCTCAGCCCAGCCCCTGTCCCCAGCGCCGCTCCCCATCCCTCCTGCTCCCCTCGGCTCGCTCACCGGCCTGGAGGCGCCGGATGACAAATAATCTCTGTGTTGCAGATGTCCGGAGCTCCGAACAGGCTTTAGTTCCTACGTGGGGATCTGGGTTTGTTCTTATCCACAGGAGAAAGCGGTGTAAAGGCTCGCTCTAGCGGGTGTCAGCTCGGGAAAGTGCATTGCGGCTGCGCGAAGCAATCGCCTGAGCCAAGGTCTCCACTCTGGCCAACAGCGGCGCCCAGAGTCCGCACTAGGAAACTGCAGCCTGTGCACCTTGGGTCTATCCAGCTACAATAACTATAATCGTTTGCCTGACTGAACAATTGTTGTAGTCTATATATTTAATGTTTAATATGTACCACTAGAAAGGTCATTATCCTAACTCCAGGTTTTAGGAAAATCGCATAGATTTAATACATAAACTCTATATGTTGACACAATTATCCCCCAATCTTCCAATCTGCACTAGAAATAGAAAGATGACTATAACACAGACTTAGCCTAAAGGAACTCAGGTTACAGTAATTTTGAATACTTAATAATTAGAAATATATTGGACAAAGTTTTATGCTTCTTTCTTTGTGTCTTTTTTCCTTATTTTTCTTTATTTTTGGGGTACCTCCATGCTGATTTATTTCAATTCTTTTTTCAGAGAGCATTAGTAATTGTCTTGCAAAGAGCACAGTTTTTACTTACTACCAAATACCTCTCTTCTTCCAAAATAGTTTCAATGATTTATTTATAGTAATGTTACCTGATTTTCACTTCTGGAATCTTAATGAAGAAAATTATGTGACCAGAAGAGTTAGCCTATCCGTTCTCCTTCCCATTGCACAATTGTTTTCCTGGTCATAAAATGTAACATCAATCTTCAAAGTTACCAGGGGAATAATATTTTGCTTTGAAACGCAAAGTCTCTAACCATGGTCTATTGCACTGAGGCATTGGTTCCCACTTGTGCACTTATATAACATCCCATGATGACATCAACTGAAGGAAATACTTCCTAGAAAGTTTATTTGCAAAAGCTCACTGAGTTTAGTGACAATTTCTCCCCTTTGTTTAATAATATTTTTTAAGCATCTAATAAATTTGGTAGGGAGATTTTCTTTTTCAAAATACCTGGTAACCATGTTTCTGCTTCACAACGTTTCAGTAACATTGTCTTCTCCCCAAGTGACTGTACATCTGAACACTGCAAAATGTATGAAATATACCCACACGATTGCATATTTCCTTTATATAGAAAATACCACCAAGCACAACACTATGATAATATGCTAGGAGAAAATGTCCACTTAATTAACACTCAAAGGGTCCCAGTAAACAAGATTACCTTGTCATCAACCCCTTCCAGATGCTACTCAACTGATGTATTGAGCTTTACTGAAATATAATACACAGAGTTTGGAAGTAGTTAACCCCAGATTGGGTTATTTCTATCTGAACTTTTCAGCATACCCAAGAAGTAAAGTCTAACTACTGGTCTAGGACTTGAGTATGAGGCAGTTGTTTCATAAAGCCACCATCCCAATCTCCCACTTGGAGAGCCCACGGTCACACTTAACATGGCTGCACCACTAAAACTGCACATTGGAATTGTGAAGTGGTAAAACATGTAACTGCTTATTTCACAACTACCGCTTATAATACTTGAAAAGGCATCTTATTTTATGTCATATTTTATTGGTTTTAAACAATGACCTTCAGTGTGGCATTAGACTCCATGTCCGTCATTGATATAGATCTCAGTGAAGCTTGACACACACATTTTATTCTTCAGGCATTTACCCAACCTTCAAACAGAGCCTAACTTTAATGGATGACTATGCTTTAAATAGGTCAGGAAGCAATTAAGATTTTTCAAGGCCATCAAGTTGAGGGTCATCGAGGCAGAAGCTAGACACAGAAAAACTTCAGACTGAAAACATCTTTAAGAGCCTTTTATAAATCTGATATAAAGAGAATGCTCAGAAGGCTTTTGCTAACCTAGTGCAATGAGAAAGATATAATTCATCCTCATTTATAAACTACACGAATTAAGAACATCAACTGGAAAATAGATGGAAGCTATAAAAATGTGACAGTCCACTTACTCAAAATCTTGTCCACAGACGTTCACTATGGCAATGACACAAAAACCTATGTCAGTAAGTGTTCCATGTTAAAGTATCACCACTGAAATAAACTTACTTTAGCTCTTTAAAGTTTCTTCAAAAACTTGTTTCACAAAACAATAAATTTTCATAAAATAAAATCCCTCAAAGATATAAAAGTAAGTGCATGACTGAACTCACCTGAATACTTTGGGCTTCATCCTTACATTCATGAAAATCTATGGATGTTAACAAGGGCTCGCTTTTCTCACAGCTCCCCTGGCTGATGAGCGTGTCTGCGTAGTTGGGCTGAGGGAAGATCAGGTGACTCTTCCCTGAGTCCGCGGTGAGGGAGACCTCGTGGGAATAGGTCTGCAGGAATGCCTGCACCCTGTCTACACCCACAAAGTGCGAGGGGGGCACACTCGCCAATACACCTCCTGAAACCTGGAGAAGACGTGACGTGTACCAGCGCCGCAGTCTGAGTGCCAGCAGCACTGTGACAAAAGCGAGGAAGACGCAAGAGACTGCGGCGACCGCCACCACCAGGTACAGCATGAGGCCTGAGGCGTCAGAGTCGTGTGGGACTTCCAGGCTGCCCAGGTCGGCCAAGACATCTGGGATGCTGTCAGCCACAGCCACAGTGAGCGTGACAGTGGCCGAGAGAGGGGGCTGTCCGTGGTCCTGGACCGCCACCACCAGGCTCTGTTTGAGCGCGTCTCTGTCCAGCAGGGCCCGCGCAGTGCGCACCTCGCCCGTGTGCAGCCCCACGGAGAAGAGCCCTGGCTCGCTGGCCTTGAGCAGGCGGTAGGACAGCCAGGCGTTCTGGCCTGAGTCTCTGTCCACTGCCACCACCTTAGTCACCAGGTAGCCGGGCTCTGCCGAGCGGGGCGCCAGCTCCACACCTGTGGAACCATCGGTGGGGATGGTGGGGTACAGGATCTCTGGCACATTGTCATTCTGATCCAGCACAAATATGCTCAGTGACGCATTACTGCTGAGTGGTGGGTCCCCACTGTCATGCGCAGTCACTCTCAATTGCAGGTCACGGAACTGCTCATAATCGAAGGAGTGCAATGCATACAGGACACCGGTGTCAGAATTGATGGAGACATAGGAGGATAGAGGCGCACCCTGGATGGTGTCTTCAGCCAGGGAGTAGGTGACCCGGGCGTTTTTGTCGCTGTCAGGGTCGTGTGCAGTCACAGAGAAGATGGAGGCGCCTCGGGGGTTGTTCTCAGGGACATAGACAGAATAAGAGGAGTGGGGAAAAGCAGGTGGGTTGTCGTTGGTGTCTGCTACCTTCATGGAGATATGAGTTTCCATGGACAGGGGTGGGGTTCCGCCATCTGTGGCTTTCAGTGTGATGTTATACACAGGGAGTATTTCCCGGTCTAGGTTTTTTGCTGTCACCAATCTATAATAATTGTCTATTGATCTTTCTAATTTAAAAGGCAGATTTTCTGAAACAGTGCAGGTCACCTTGCCATTGTTCCCAGAATCTCGGTCTTGAAGGTAGAAAAGAGCAATTACTGTTCCAGGAGGAGTGTCTTCAGGGATTGAGCTGCTTGCAGACGTTACAGTTACTTCTGGTGCGTTGTCATTCACATCTAAAACGGTGATCAGTACTTTAGCCCTTGTCATACTGCCAGGACCGTCCTGAGCCTGAACTTCCATTTCATAGTAGCCGGATTCTTCATAATCTAGGCCCTCTAAAGTTGATAATTCTCCTGTATGGGAATTCAACTGGAATATCTGTAAAATTTTTGGAGTTATTTTCCTAAAAGAATATGTCACTTCCCCATTGACTCCCTCGTCTGGGTCGATAGCGTTTACTGTGAGCAGTCTGGTGCCCACCGGCACGTTCTCAGGGACGGTTACTTGGTACTGGGGCAAAGAGAAGACTGGCGCGTGATCATTCACGTCCACCACCGTTACTTGGATGTGGGCGGTGCCGGATCGGGGTGGGTCGCCGCCGTCAGAGGCTGTGAGGAGGAGGTGGTGAAATGCCTCTTCCTCACGATCCAGAGCTCGCTCCAGCACTAATTCCGGATATTTAGTGCCGTCGTCTCCAGTTTGCACAACCAGGGAGAAATGGCGATTGGGGTTGAGCTGGTAGCTCTGGAGGGAGTTTGTGCCCACATCCGGGTCCCTAGCCTCATTTAACGGAAACCGCACCCCAGGAGCTATATTTTCCATTATTTTTACGTTCATTTCTTCCGTCAAGAACCTAGGAGCGTTGTCATTAACATCCATTATTTCCACTTCAATAGGGTAAAGATTCATTTTATCTTCCATCAGGATGTTAAAACTCACTAGACACCGCGCGCTCTGAGCGCACAGCTCCTCCCGGTCTATCCTGCCCGCGGTGACCAAGCTGCCACTTCGCGCGTTCAGAGCGAAAAGCTGCGTCCTACCTCTGGAGACGATGCGGACTCCGCGGTCTGCCAGCTCCTGGGGCTCCAACCCCAGGTCCTTGGCGATATTACCCACAAAAGAACCTTTGTCAGTCTCCTCTGGCACAGAGTAGAGAATATGTCCTGCCCAAGCTTCGTTCCGAGTCCCCAGGAGGATGGAGAGCAGGATGAATCCTCTGTAACCCCCGCCCCTCTGCGGAGCCGCCATTGTTGTCCTGCAGATAGTGTTTAGATGCTAGGCTACCTCCTGTTGTGCTTCTGGATGCCAGCGTGTCCGCGCGGAGCTGTATTCGGAAAAGGAGCCCAGAATCCAACAGATGAGAGGTCTGAGTTTGGTGTCTCTTGGAAAAGAGTTTGTTTCAATCTGGCGTTTCTTTGTGCTGTAAAAGCTCGGTAGTTCTGGCAAATCTTTTGCACCATTATTCCCCTGGTTGGTGAACAGCGGCACTTAGAGTCCTTACTATGTTACTGCACCATGTTGAGATTAACTTACTTTTCAGAAAGTTGTTTTATCCTTCAAATTCTTCCGTTTATATTTCTTCAATTCATATATCTCTGATGTCATTTTAAAAATCAATTTTAAGAAACTGTGAATTGATGCCACAGTGTTTATGGATGAGTGTTTATTAGTGCCAGATAATTTTTCAAAATTCTTTGGCTTGCATTGCAACTTTGAAATGACTCTTGGGCACTGCTTCACACTTTATTTATTACATATAGGGAAAAATCAGCCATTGCAGGTAAAAAATTATATATATATATATATATATATATATATATATANTATATATATATATATATATATATATATATATATATATATATATACACACACACACACACACACACAAACACCTTATTTTTTTTAAAAGGGTGTTTGTATATATAAGAAAGATGTTATACAGAAACTGTTTACATCAGAGTAAAATAAGTTTAAGTTAATTAAATAAGATTGAATGCATACTATGTTCTAGACACCCCCGTGTAAAACTCAGACAGTCAAAAAAATTTTTTAAGTATAAAGAGGTAATTTAATA